GCAGGCTAAGACGAGGCGATGAGCGTGGGTCCTGGTCCCGTCTGCCGGGTGTCCCTGTGAAAACAGGGGCCACCAGCTGGACGCCGCACAGAGGTGCGCTGAAAGGGGGGGCTGGAATGACGCCTCTGTCCGATCGACCGGGGCCCCCCACGGCGAAGCCCCAGCAGCTGGAAAGAAGCGAGGACAGACCCTCCCGTCAGGCTTCCCAGGGCACACGGCCCTGCCGGCGCCTGGCGTGGGACTCCCACTCCGCGGGGCTGTGAGCGGACCCTCGGCTGCGCTCCACGGTCCCAGCATCCACGGGGCCTTGTCCCAGCGGCCTGGCAAACCCGTGCAGTCCGGCACAAAGCCCAGGCCCCTCGCGCGCATGCGGAGCGGTTCTGGAAGAGCCGGCCCACCGCCGAGCTTCCTGCAGGATGGGGCGGGGGTCTGCGGTCAGTCTGTGGCGGGTCAGCTTCTTCCCTGCCCGATGCCGTACCCCTCGCCGCCGACTCACAAGACACCTGCGACTGCCCGCCCCAGAGTCTGTCAGGGCGCCCAGCGCCAGACGACGTCAGACAGCAGCGGGCGGGGCGAGGGGGGGCGGGGCGTGCAGCGGAGCACCCCAACCTGCCGGTGCTCTGGGCGCCGCGCGCACTGCTGCGCTGAAGCTTATTTCTGGGCGCCGGTGCCTGCCGGTCATGCCAAACCCAGCCGAGAGGGGGCAGTGGGCTCGAAATGCCTTGCTGTTCGGACAGCGGCGAAGCGCTGCGCTCACGGCGCAGTGACACTTCGGCTGTGCTCAGGGGAGCGCAGTGTGGCACGTGCACGTCTGGGGCTACGGGGTCCGCAATGTTCCTGGCCCACAGGAGAGCAATGAACGTGAACGGTGGGACTTTTGAGCTTTGAATCTCATCGCAGCGCGTCTTCGTGAAAATCAAAGGACGAGAATGACCCCCTGGCTGGCGTGGCTCAGTGGATTGAGCGCGGGCTGCGAACCAAAGTGTCGCAGGTTCGATTCCCAGTCAGGGCACATGCCTGGGTTGCAGGCTACGGCCCCCAGCAACCACACATTGATGTTTCTCTCTCTCTCTCTTTCTCCCTCCCTTCCCTCTCTAAATATAAATAAATAAAATCTTAAAAGAAAAAGAGAAGGGATTTGCCAGCTGATTCCGGACTGCTCCTTTGTCAGCTGAGCGAGAAAAGATGTTTACTAGCAGTGAGCTAATTAAAGCGTGTTTCATTGTAGCAGCTGGGGGGGGAAAAAACGTGTCTGGAGGAAACAAACGCTATTAGCCTTTCCGGGACAAGAACCCCACCAAGCGCTGGAGCCGCTGGGAACACGATCAGCAGTCAGTTAACACCAGGCCGAGCGATTCCGAGCGGTTCTCCCTGGCGCTCAAGGAGCTGGCAGAGGTCGCCGGTCCAGTCCAGCGGCCGCGCATCCGAGGGGCGGCCGCCCTGCCCGGCGTGGCTGCAGCACGCAGGCCCTGTGGGCAGCGCGTGTGAAACAGAGGCAAGCGTTTGAGGAGTTGGGAACACGCTCGTTCGGTGCACCCCGAAGTGGGGTCAGCCAGGCTGCGACAGAGCTGATGGTGGTGAAAATATGTATGGAGCAAAAAACAAAAAAACAAAAAAAAACCCTGGCTGGTGTAGCTCAGTGGATTGAGCGCGGGCTGTGAACCAAAGCGTCGCAGGTTCAATTCCCAGTCAGGGCACATGCCTGGGTTGCAGGCCACGGCCCCCAGCAACCACACATTGATGTTTCTGTCTCTCTATCTCCCTCCCTTCCCTCTCTAAAAATAAATAAGATCTTTTTTAAAAGTCATAAAATAAAGAGAAGAAAAGTTTTAAAAAGTTTCTCTTTAAAAATTAAAAAAAAGAAAAGGCTTAGTTGGACAGGTTTACGAAGCCCATGGAAACAGAAAGTGCTGAAAGCGCGTGGGTGGGTGCTCACGGTATCAGCCATCGGTGTGTCTGGGAAGCGGGCCAGCGAGCCCTTCGCCAGTGCGGAGAAGCCAGGGTGCACCCTACCCCAGGCCCATGGGAAGCCCTGCCCGGGGAGGGCCTGCCCCTCGCGCTGCCCTGCACGGCCACCCTGGGGGAGGCTGCAGTTCAGTGGCCGTCCGTTTGGGAGGGTGGCGCGCACACACACACACACACACACACACTCAGCCTAAGAACCCATAAAGCAGACTCGGACGTTTCCCTCTACGTCTGCCGGCCCCCAGGGGTCCCCAGAAGCCCCCGGTTGTGAGCTGAGAGGGGCTGGGGCCACGACCGTGGCGGGCTGCTTGAGAGTCTAGGTTCCCTGCCTTGGTGGCTCGCAAGCCACCGTGTCTTCAGAGTCCCCTTGTCCGTTCCCACTGCCACCTGTGCGCGCAGGGAAGGTGGTTGTGCTGCCCCAGACTCAAAGGGTTCAGGGGGGCCTGGGGGCGCTAGTTTGGGGTGGGCCACCTACCCAAACAACCCCCCCAGCCTTTATCTGGGCAAAGCACCCTACCTTGGTGGAGAGTTACCCTTTTTTTTTTTTTTTTTAAGATTTTAGAGGGGTAGGGAAGGAGAGAGGGAGAGAAACATCAATGTGTTGTTGCTTCTCCAGCGACCCCTACTGGGAACCTGGCCTGCAACCCAGGCATGTGCCCTGACTGGGAATTGAACTGCAATACTTTTGTTCGCAGGCCTGTGCTCAATCCACTGAGCCACACCAGCCAGGGAGAGTTACCCTTCTTAAGAGGCTGACCCCTCAGCGACGCAGGCCCTGGGCCTGCCCCCCACTTGCCCCGCCCCTCCAGCCTGGATGAGAGCGCCTTCACAGGCTAGGAGGACGCCCCCTGGCGTTCGCACGGGGATCTTCATCGCCTATCACTTGCCTATCACATCGCCAAGCCTTTCGTTACCTTGTCCTAGAGCTTCGATGGGGCCTAGAGACACCCAACCCGTCCTTTGTGGTCAGTTCCCCCACGCCTTTAAACACCCCCGAGGCACGGCGGCGGGTGTGTCCCTGCCCTCCGGAGGCCGTCCCAGGCCACAGCTGGGAAAGAGCCTCAAACGGTCCCGTCCGTCCCCGTGCGCCAACTCCCAGCAGGCGGATGGTGACTGACGAAGGGAACGACCCTGCCTCGAAGCCCCATCGCATCGCCTGCCTCCCCAGACAACCTCCAGCCCCCGTCGTCTCGGCCTGGGGTCTCCAGGGAAAGGGACTCTGGCTCGGAGCTGGGTGTCCAGGACGTTTATTAGGGCACGTCCTTGGGATCGGCGCCGATGGGAGGGAAGGGGAGGAGGCGGGGGAGGGGGGAGGGGGAGACGACCCTGCAACTCGACTGCAGCCTCCGCAGGCCCCGGCGAGCGTTCCGATGCGCAAACGGCCCAGCAGCGCCCCCGTCGGGCGCAAATGCTCACGTCCTTGCACAGCTGTGAGCCCGTCGATGGCAGACCGCATTCCCGCTGGGGGCCCCACGACACTATAACGGAGCTGAGCCCCTCCCATCCCCAGTGACCCCCCGGGGTGCGTGCTCGTGCTGGTGCCGGTGCGGACGAACCCCCTGCGCTGCCGGCTGCGAAAGTGTAGCCCCGGCAACTGTGCACAGTGCCTCATACTTGATTCTAACAATACATGACTGTGTCACTGGTGTATGTGTTTTCTATGCTGTGCTTTTTATCGTTATTGTAGAGTGTACTCTTCCTGCGTATAAAAAATGTCGGCCGTCAAACAGTCAGCAGGCAGCAGCCTCCGGCGTGTCCGGTTCACCGCATCTGTGGATGGCATCGTTTTTTCTTGCGTCTGACGTCACCGCGCGTTGCTTGGGGAGCAGCGCCGCCTGGGAGCACAGCGCCAGCAGTCTGCAGAGGTGCACGGCCTCCGGGCCCGCTCGCCGACTCGTCCACGGCAGCCTCTGGTCCCGCCGACCGCGTGCCTAGTGCGCACCCTTGACAATGCGTATCCCTTTTATCTTTTACGCTGGATTTTGACTGTTGCACACTTTCTGCGTCTAGAGGCACAGGTACTGACGGGTGTGCTACAGTGGCCTACAGTGCTCGGCGCGGTAGCGAGCGGTGCAGGTGTGCACGGGTCGGGGCTGCCGGGCCAGGAGGGACAGGTGTGGAGGGGAATGAGGGCTCTGCGCTCTGATCGCCTCCAGTTCGGGCCTCAGATTCTGACTCGGAGGCCAAGGGTGAGGCCACAGCACCCGCAGCGGGGCAGGGAGCTGCGGGAGGAGGGGATGGAGAGGATGGGACCCCCGCTTGACCTGTGAGCTGGGGTCCTTACCCCTCCCGTCTGTAGAACGCAACCCGCCCCCCGCGGCCCCCATTCCCGCACTGAGAGTCATCTTCAAGGACTCAGCCTGGAGGCACTGACGCGGCGTTGAGGCCGTCTGGACGGTGCTCGGGAACTGGACCCAGTTAAGGCCTCTCTGCGATGAACTTCTTCCTGGTGGGCGGGTGTGGAGGTCCACTCGTCCTGTGGCCCCAAACAAGCGCCATATGTAACTTCCCTTGCTGATCAAATCTGCCAGCCACGAGTCTGGGGCGGCCTGCCTCTCCCTCTGGCCTCTCCTTACCCCGAGTTTATGGGGGCGGGCCAACGGGAGCCAGGATCCCGGAGCTGGGGGGGGGGCCTCCTGTCCATCACGGGCTGGGAGAACAAGCCCCGAACAGCCAGACCCAGGTGGGTGAATTCCCGGCAAACGTGCTGCCACGGCCACTACCAACCACCTACCCTCGAGGCTGCCATGATCCTTGGCGAGACGCGCCAGGTGGACCAGACGAGAACGCCGCTCCCTGAGGTGGCCGGCTCGGCAGACCTGCACCCCCAACTCTCCTACCTGCTCGGGCGTTGCCCTTCAATCCCAGCCTCTGCTCAGTCTGGACGAGGGCTCAGAGCCCCTCTCCTCGGACTCGAGGGCTCAGATGACCCTCGCCGACTCCTTGGAGCTGGCCTGTGAGTCGCTCCCTGTCTGCCGCCTCTGCCCTGACCTCCCGGGGCTCATCCCGCAGAGCGAGGCTGGGGAAAGACCGCTTCACTGCTTTATTGGGAGGGGAATACACTCTGTCACAAAGCAAGGCTCTGAGCCCAGCACGATCTCCAGCTCGAGATGCAGCTGGTTGGCCATGACCCTGTAGTGGCCGTTAACGAAGCCCCGGGAAGTGCAGGTGTGGCACCTCCAGTAGCCCTGGATGACGCGGGCGGCGTGCAGCAGGCGGCAGTAGCGCAGGCGGATGCGCCACATGCGGACCCAGGACTGCAGCCTGACCGCCGCCCACTCCTTCTGGGCGAAGGTCTCCAGCGCCTTCCGCCGCCGCCGCTCCAGCCGCGAGGCCTGCAGCCACCTCCACCAGCGCTGAATGACCGTCACGCTGACCGCCGCGTGCAGCAGCGTCCGGCGCACCAGGGTGCCCCGCCACCAGGCCTGGATCTTGACCACTTCCGGATTACCAGGGAGGGGCTTGTTTTTGGGATCTTCCTTATTTTGGGGAGCTTCCTTATTTCTGGGATCTTCCTTACTTTTGTGATCTTCCTTACTTTTGGGATCTTCCTTATTTCTGGGATCTTCCTTACTTTTGAGATCTTCCTTATTTTTGTGATCTTCCCTATTTTTGTGATCTTCCCTATTTTTGTGATCTTCCTTATTTTTCTGATCTTCCTTATTTTTCTGATCTTCCTTATTTCCCGGGATCTTGTGAGAAAAAAGAGAAGATGTTCAGAGCATGGTCGCCCCACCCCCACCCCCGAGCCCCTTCAGGCTTCAGGCCCGGGGCTTGCGGGAAGGGACCTGTCAACATTCACCCCTTCTTCCAACCTCAGGAGCCCTGGGCAGGGCACCCCCTGCCCCCGGAAGCCCAAGCGGGTGTCCCGTCTCTGCCCCTCCCTGGCCCCTGGCCAGGGTCACACTGACCTCTGGGTCTCGGAGTCCCCATCTGTGCAATGGGATTCCATCTGCCCTGGCTGCCCGGTGTTGCGCGGATCCAGTTGAGCAGCCCAGGGCAGGGTCACCGTGCTCACCTCACCAGGCTCCGTGACCCTTGCTTTCAGACCCCGCCCCCCACCCGCTGGAGGAGCGGCCCCTTTGGCCAGCTCTGCCCTTCCGGTCTCTGGCTCCATGCCCACTCACTCACAAGGGGCTCTCTCGCTCTGCACGCCGTCGCACTAACGGTTTCCTCACCCCGGAGCGCTCCCTCTCTCCCGTCTCTTCCACGCCTTCCCTTCTCTTGACTTGCACACTTGAAACCTTTGCTAACGAGCAGATGCGTGTGCCAACATGCAGGCACAAGCTCACCCACACACACGCCACTGACGACGCCCAGCACCCCCTACACTGGCCGTTCCATCTCCCAGACACAACCTCCCCCCGCCCCGGGTTCCGGCCCCAGCCCTGAGGGTCCGGGGTGGGGTCATACTTCTCTGGGGCTCTCTTCAGCGTGACCCACGCCCTTCGCCTCGGCCTCCTTGGGCTGGTCAGCCTGAAAAATAGGTGGGGAAAGAGGGCAGACGAGAACGAGGCTACTCCCCTTCCTGGCGCTGGACCATACCAAAGACACGGGCCACAAGCACCAGGACACGAGGGCCGGATGTGCCCGGGTCAGGGCTCCCCCTGCCTACCTCCACCTTCTCCTCCGAGGTCAGAGATGACGAGGATGAGCCGAGGGACTCCTCCTCCTGCGGAGGCTCAGCTGCAGAGCGTTCCACTTCTTCAGGCTGGCCCACCTCCTGCGGTCGGCAGGCAGGGGAGAGGCACGAAAGAGTGAGGCTCCTCTCCCCCGCCCTCGGTTCAGTACCCCACCCTTGGCCCGCCTCCGGGGCTCCCCAGAGGATGCAGGTGCCAGGTGTCCCCTCATCCTGACGGGTCTACGGAGACATCCCAGAAAAGCCTGGGCGTCCGTCTCTCACCATTGCTCCCACATGGATTGGAGGTAGATGGTTCAAACCCCCTCAGGTCTGTGTTACTCTAGCCGTGGCCTGGGCAGAAGGAGTTAAGGGGGGAGACCTATGATGTCATAAGGGCGGCTATGACTCAGGAACCAGGGTGGCTCCCAATACTTGAGCCCTCTCCAAGGAAAATGCAAAAATCTGTCCGCTGTTTTCTGCTGGAAATGGTGAAAGCCCTGACTATAGAAGCGAGATACCAGAAATCCCGGCCCAATGATGTAAAGGTGCATAAAGATGATTAGTTAGCCCTGGCTGGTGTGGCTCAGCGGATTGAGTGCTGGCCTGTGAACCACAGGGTTGCCGGTTCAATTCCCAGTCAGGGCACATGCCTGGGTTGTGGGCCAAGTTTCCCCAGCAGGGGGCACTCGAGAGGCAGCCACACACTGATGTTTCTCTCCTCTTTTTCCCTCCCTTCCCCTCTCTCTAAAAATAAATAAAATCTTTAAAAAAGAGAAAAAAGAAAATGGCATAACACTGTAAAGTACTAAAACATGGGGCGGGGGGGGGGCTTGTGGAGAGGGGAGCCAAGCTAGAATCCTACAAAGATAATAATATTAAAAAAATAAAGATATAGACATAGCCCTGGCTGGCGTAGCTCAGTGGATTGAGCGTGGGCTGCAAACCAAAGCATCGCAGGTTCGATTCCCAGTCAGGGTACATGCCTGGGTTGCAGGCTACGGCCCCCAGCAACCGCACATTGATGTTTTTCTCCCTCTCTTTCTCCCTCCCTTCCCTCTCTAAAAATAAATAAATAAAATCTTTTTAAAAAGATATGGACGTAAAACAGAAAGGCTCTTACCACTTCTGTTTAACAATGTACTGAAGGTCCTAACCAGTGCAATAAGGCAAGAAAGTGAAATAAAATGTCTAAATTTTTTTGAAAGTGATTCACATAAAAGCTTCCAAAGATGTCTATCCAAAATACTAATACGGGAATCTAACAAGCCATGCAAGGTACCCGTGGTGGTGTTGGGGTCCACCCTACCTGGTTTCAGGAGCTGCAACCCCCCATAGCTAAGGCTGAGTGAGAGACACTAAGGAGACGAGTCTGTCTCCCCAGTGTGAGCGCTGCCTGCTCCATGTCTGACCCGCATGGCTTGGTCGGTTAGCCAATGACAGGTAACATTCCTCAGAGGAGGATGGATCTAAGACAGGCACGATCACATGGGAAGGCCCTCAGGGAGAGACTCAGGGGGCTGTGGAAAAGAGGGAGTGATCGACCCTCGCCCCCTCGGCTTTGACAAGCCTGAGTCCTTGTTCTGCCCGTGAGAAATCCAAATCTCCTGGCTGCCTTTGTCTCCTCTGTGCGACTCAGGCCTGTGGCAATTGACAAGGGGCGGTGCAGCCCAGACGGGAGGCAGAGGAGACCTCCCGGGGTAATTAGACCTGAAGCAGGGAATATGCAAAACCCTGTGAAGCCTACTTTGCTGGAGGGTGCTCTTAATTAGAAGATGAAGGCACGGGCAGGAAATGAAACTAGCCCTTTAGGTCCTGCAGTTTTTTAGGTGATAAGACCCCAACTCAGCATGAGGCCTTTTAGATCTTTGAAAGTTACCTACTTGTTTGATCTTCCCTGCCAGACTGTAATCAACACACTGTATCTGTACTCCTACCCTGAGAACCTAGTACAAGCCTACTCAGGCAGCGGCTGGGGCCCTCCCCCCTTGAGAGAGTGGCCGTCCCGTTCCACTTCCTCCATGGAACTCGGCAGTCCGCGTGTACTTCCTTCGTTTCCTCAGTCATCTGCAGTGCTCGCGGTCACCGCCGGCCGGTGGCTGCGTCACGGTGTTGTGTGCACCTGTCTGTGAATACACGAAACTCCGCTGAGCTGTCCACTTCAAACGGGTGAACTACATGGCATGTGGATTATATCCCAACAAAGCTGTTTAAAAATAAAAAGCACTCCCCAAAATTAAAAGACACAATGGTACCATACATCCATAAATATTTGGGAGATTCTTTTCTTTCTCTTTTAAATATTTTATTTATTTTTCAGAAAGAGGGGAGGGGAGGGAGAAAGAGAGGGAGAGAAACATCAGTGTGTGGCTGCCTCTCACACCCCCCCAACCAGGGACCTGGCCTGCAATCTAGACACGCGCCCCGACTGGGAATTGAACCAGTGACCTTTCAGATCACAGGTGGGCGCTCAATCCAGTGAGCCACACCAGTCAGGGCAGCAGTTGGGAAATTCTTGATTAGAAGTACAAAGTTGAAGGATTTACATCATCTGACTTCAAGACAATGGCTTACTGTCTTGAAAAATTATAGAGTTACAGTAATCAAGGCAATGCAGCTCTCGTGTAAGAAGAGACAGATCAATGAAACAGAACAGAGAAGCCAGAAGCAGACTCGCATTTACAAAGTCTATTGATTTTTTGACGTACCAAGAAAATTCAGTTCAGAAAGGAAATGCATTTTTTAATGGAAAGGAAAATCTTAACCCTTACCTAACATCATAGACAAAAAAAACAAAAACAAACAAAAAACAAACCCTCAAGATCTGTCATAGGCCTAAACAAAAACTAAAGCTGAAACTATAAAGCCTATAGAAGAAAACCCATGAGAATTACTTTGTGACCTTGGAGTTGACAAAGATTCCTTAGGATAGAGAAAGCACTAAGTGTGAAATGTTGATAGACTGGACTTCATTCCAACTAAAACTGTTCATCAAAAGACAACAGCCCTGGCTGGTGCAGCTCAGTGGATTGAGTGCGAACCTAAAGGTCACCGGTTCGATTCCCAGTCAGGGCACATGCCTGGGTTGAGGGCCAGGTCCCCAGTAAGGGGTACGTGAGAGGCAACCACACATTGATGTTTCTCTCCCTCTCTTTCTCCCTCCCTTCCCCTCTCTAAGGATGAACCCTGAAGATGCTGCGCTAAGTGAAACCAGCCAGACACACGAAGACAACCACTATGATTCCACTCACACAAGGCGTCCGAAGCGGTTAAAGTCGTTGAAACAGAGAGGAGCGCGGTGATTGGTTACCAGGCACTGGAGAGGTGGGGGACATTCTCATTGGCTAGGGTTGCAGAGGAAGCAAGATGAAAATGTTCCCGAGGCCCACGGCACAAGGTCAATAAACTTACCACACTGAAATGTACGCTTAAACAAGAGGGTTAAATGGTCTACTCTGTGTCTTTTGCGGCAGCTGGAATAAGTGAACAGGAGCCCCATTGCAGCAAGGCGGCCTCGGCTGGCCACGGTGGAGCACTGAAGCCCCATAGGGGCAACCTTTCAGTGCTGAAGCCACACCTTCTCCAGCCTTAGTTTCTCCCTGGGACGTGCCCGTAGGAAATGGGCTCACCTATTAGGGGCATTTCCGTGCTGCTGCTACAGGGTGCAGCTGAGAGGGGGGCCCCAAATAGGGATTTGGAATGGGGCCCAGAACTCAGGGTGTTCAGGAAATATTAGGATGTCCTCAACCCCCACCCCCCACCCCGCCACAGGTGTGGGTTTGGGGAAGGGACACTTGGAGCAGGGCCATTGAGAGCTGTTTTGCATAGCAACAGCCTTGCAGCTACCCTCTGGTGTGGTCATTTAACGTATCTATAAACTTTAACTGGTGACATAGATATTCAAATAGCTGTGGCCATGCTCTGAGCCAGGGGGGTGGAAGTAACTTCCCCACCAAGACATAACTGGGGGGCAGGTTGCAGCGCCTGCATGGGAGCTTGGAGAAGACTGGCTCCATGACATGGGGCCACGCCTGCCCAGACTCACGATGGAAACCCAGTAAAGCTGGAAGGGTATGAGAGTGCTGGCAGGTGTAGCCAATTGTGGGCGGAGTCGGAAATGGGGCTGCAGAGGAAGATTGGCGCGGGGATTTAAACCCAGACTCGGCAGCCATTGAGGAGAACCACACAGCTTTGGCAGAGTGGGCACTCCCACAGCCCCGCGAGAGAGAATCACCTTGCAGCTTTAGCATAGAACCACCACTCGGCTTTGCCAGAGTGGGGACCCCCGCAGCTTTAGAAGGGGGAACCACCACCCGGCTTTAGTAGAGATCCCGGCGACACAGCTGATGGTGCCGGGAACTGAGGGAGGCCTACCAGCTGAGACGGATTACTGGGAAGAACTGGGGGCTGCCTGAGCCACAGACTTCTGTTTCTTTCCCTGAGATACAGTACCCCAGACTGGGCATAGGGGGAAGGACTGTGTGTTTGTGGATGTTTGTAGATGTGGGACTTTGGGATTTTGATGAAGACATTAGGGCACTACTTTAAGTTTGTACAGCATTAAATAAACATTTCCTTTCCTTTTCATGAATCTCTGGCATTGAGAGACGCCTTCCCTATAAGGCAGCGGACATAACGAACCTGGGCGGTTCCTTTCGATAATAGTATATCATCCCAGGCCCCCCCTCTGTTCTGTAACACTGCTTGCGATGTTCTGTAAGGGCAGAGTCCCTAACACACGTCATTCCCAGGGGAGACACAGGTGCCACAGGCACCTCCAGCTGCCTCTCCGCCTCCCCATCCCCTCCGCCCCAGGCAGGAGCGAACTACCCAGCTGCTGACATCAGGAGACCCCACGTTCCTGACACGTGTACCAGGCAGGGTCACTGCTGGGACAGGTCACGCAGCCTGGCCAGCCTGATTTGGAGGCCTGGCTGTCTTCGTTTCAGTTCGGACCCACAGCCCGCCCTTACACATGCTTGGACATGCGTGGGGCTTCTGGGTGAGGGGTCAGCAGCTTCTGAGCCCTCCCAGCCTGGAGCAGAGGGCAGGGAGCTGGCCCAGTGAGGCCACAGAGGACACTCAGGGACCAGGAGCTGGCTTCCGGCTCCAGCCTCCTGTTCCTGGAAAAGGATAAGAAGCCTCAGGCCACCCTCCCCGGGCCTTTTCTAACCCACAGTCCTTGCCGCCCCCTCCTTTCCTCCCTCCCCACCCACCCAAGAAGCTGCAGGAG